TCCTTTGGCTGAGGAGTGGGACTGCTGGAGCTGTGGAGTTGTGCTGGGCCAGGCTTTGGCTCCTGAGCAGGAGAAAATACACAGAAGCAGCAACTGTAAAATGAAATATTAATAAAGCTTGGGCATCGGTGTAGCAGGTTCAGCTGCAGAGGAGGGGAGTGAGCTGTTGTAGGAACATCAGTGAAGCTGATTACACTGAAAGCAGTTTTTATCTTGGAGATAAAAGACAGCCTGGTGTTGGTGTTTCTTGTTCCAGAGCTCCAGTTTAGCTCTACAGCAACCAGCTTTTTTAGCCTTTTGCTTATGTCAGAATTTGTCCCTCTGCAAATAGAAGTCTTGGTTCTTAAATATTAAGGCTGTGGAGTGGCTTCATTAGTATTTTTCATTCACAGACTGTTTCTTGAGCTCTGTAGCTCACGTTTAACTGGGCTGTGAAAAGGTGGGATTTCTTAAGGGGTATTTCTTGCTGTTGTCTTTCAGTACTGGTGTTTGAAGCAGAAATTGCTGCAGCATGCTTGCCTTTAATTAGTTAAGTACAGAGGAACTTACCTATTGGCTTCTTTTTAAAATGAGTGCCATCCAGTTTGAGATCTTGCTCGCCTGGCTCCTGCCTGTGTCTGGATGTTTGTAGCCACTGAGTCATGTTTCTTGAGCTCACACCTCTGGATGGCGTTGTGTTTGGTGGTGGTACAGGCTGGCCTGGGAGAGGAGGGTGGGCAAGGCTGCAAAGTCTTGTTGCCAGTGTTCTTAGGTTTTTGTCAGCTCCTGGTCTTATGCCTCCTATAAGGCAGAGCATGTGCTACCAGTTATTTTTAGCATGGAAAATTTGAAGAGCCCACATGGTCCCATTTAGTTTTAACCGTGCCAGCGTCGTCCAGTTCTCTTCACCCAGACATTATTTATTTCCCAAGTGCTGTATCACTAACTATAGGGTTTGCAGGGAGGATCCTGGCCTTGCTGTTGAAGCCGCATTTCCAACTTAGCTGCCTGCTTGTTTGTTATGTGATCCTTCAGGATGGTCTTTAATTCCAGCCTTGATTTCCGCTGCTTTTGGGATTTGGAAGGATAACCTCTCCAGTGCTGGGACTGAAGGGAAGCAGACGAGGCAGGGACCAGCAGCACCGCAGTGTATGTTCCTGCAGAGCATGGGACTTGGGAGTTGTCCACGTCTCCTCCTGCAGAGACTTGAAGCAGTTTTCTCCCAGAACAGACCTTCTCGAGTGCAGAAAACCCTGCAAATCTGGAGCAAGTGCTTGCTGAACATTCTTCTTGGACCTTGAGGATGAATGATCTGGCTTCTCTGTGAACCTCGTGCTGCAAACATTTCTAACCTTATAAGGATGCGTACACTGCAGGGTTGTTTGTCCTGGCTGGAGAAACAGGGTGGCCTAAAACTGCTCTGGGACTCCAATGCAAACAAGCAGAATAAGTTGACTGTCCTTGGCTTTTTTTTTTTAGGTGAGTGTGTGTGTTCATTCTTGTCCTCATCTCCCTGATCTTTACCAGGAGTTTTCCATAAATCAAGTCAGGGTATGGATTTGGAGAGCTGACTGACTCCTACTCCCCCCCCTTGGTGTCTTAATCCCATCCTGACCTACTGTGGGGATTATTTAGCAAGTTGGAAAAGTCTCATGTCCTAGCTGGAGCTCTCCAGCCATGCCTTGGTATAAGGTGTGACATTTAGCTGGGATTCCTGACGTGCCAGCAGTGGAAGTGGCCCGTGGCATGGGCCGAGCATGTACAGTGTGTGAGCTCTGTGCTAGCTCAGCTCTATTTTTGGCGTGGGACCACACGGGGCCCTGTGTATCGGGGAATGGCACTGGGGCATCCAGCGCTTCACACTGGTTCTGACTTTTGCAAGCTGATCATCTGTGGCCTGAAACCTCCGGAGCTGCTGTGTGTCCCCAGCTGGCTCCTCCTGCCTGGAGAGTGCATGGGCTGCTGGGCCAAGCTCCCTCCCATTTGGCAGCGTTTAAAGCCATGTGATTTGACAAGTTGCCATTTGCTGTTCTGCTGCTGGCAGGAAAATCCTAGGCTTTCTTCCTTCCATGTGTTTAAATGATCCCATTGCCCCTGTGGTCCTGAACTGGCTGTCAAATTGGCAATGGAGAGAGGGTTTTGTCACTCTTAAATGTGTTGGAAAATGAATGTGGGCTTTAGGAACTCTCCTGTAGAGGAAGCAAAAGAGAGGTATGTGCCGCATCTTGCAGCTGTTTGGTGGTGCAGGTTAAAAGTCAGCCATGTTCTAGGAATCATATAAGAAGTGACATTATGACCGGCATATCAAAATCAGGCCATCGTAGTCTTCCAATCACATTTATGTAAGGAGATGTTTGTTGGTCTTAGCTGTCCCCTAGACAGCCCTGTACTCTAGGATGTCTGCTGGCATCTTGTGCAGAGGCACTGCTTTTTATCTCTTTCTAGTTGATGTGAGGACGTGAAATTCCCATTTAACACAATCACTGATAGTATAATGCAACTCTTGCTAAAACTAGTCAAATGAAAAACATGGAATTAAATGAGCTTCACAAGAAGCAGTCAGCTAATCTACCAGTTCCCACCAATCTAAATATCACAGAAGAGTGAAGATCTTTGTTTTAAATTATATTAATGTTCAAAATTATTCTTGGAACTGTTTTGTCTGCCAGGCTTTGGGACGGGTCTGCCCCTCTGTGGGGCATCCTGCTGCTGTCTTCCTGCACTGCGGAGTTGTGTGGGACTATTGTTCGTACAGTTGGTGCAACTTAATAGGGAATCGGATAATAATAGGGCTGTCTGTTTAATCAGGAAAGCTTGCTGGGAATGGGCTTATGTGAGCTACTTTAATTTGAGTTTGTGGTACGCCTGTGAGACAGCTTGTAGGGTGGTTCTGCATTAATTATAACGACTTAAGTGGACAGCAGATGAGCACTTGCAGTGGCTCACAATGTGCCATTGTGCTGTAGAGCATAAATGTGAGCCTTTTGTCTTAGGAATGTACGGCCTTCACCCTTTCCATTTACCAAGTTCCAAAAACCAAACAGCCAAATTATTGCATAGGTTTGTGGGGGTTTTTTAATTCCAAATCTCAGCTGTTGCCCTTACCCAAGAGTTCATCCTCAGCAGTGCGCCTTGTTACTTGACTCTGTAAAGGCAGCTGGAAGTAACTTTGGTTTAGATGAGATCAGAGCTGAATGCACAGTGAACGCAGACTCAAGTTTCCCATGTAGAACAACATAAGCACCTCATTGTGATATACTGGAGGTGTTACTGGATTTCTTAAATTGTGTCTGAAGCTGACCTTTGATTTGGAAATGAGCAAGAAATTTTCTAGTCCCTGGTTTTGCCATTCACTTATTGACTTGTCTTGGTCATTAGGACTCTGTGGTAAACAGTGCAGAAGCAAGGCTGGCATCCGAGCTAGCTTGGATAAAGTGTGTTTGCTGCTGTGGGATGGGAGAGGGGGCTGGAGGAGGTGAGGTCTGGAGTCAGTGTTAAATTATCTGAGGTTTGGATGCAGGGTTTGAGTCCGAGAGGGGCACGGTTTTGTCCCCTGGCTAGAATGTAGTCAGCTCCTTACGAAAACTGAGGCCCCGGAGGAGCCTTGTCTGTGGAAGCCGCGATCACAACACTTACTCTGATAACAAAAGGGATTTTTCCAGTTAAGACTGACTAAGCACAGTTGGCAGACTGACTTGATTGCCTTTGCTTGTCTGAGAAATACTGCACTCCTGAAGAGGGACTAGATAATTCTCTTTTCTAGTGGGTGGTTCCCGTTCCTAGGACTTTGCTAACTTTTGAGAACAACCTTTATTTTTGTTACTTATTGGTGAAAGTCTCAAGGGCTGTTTGGAGAAAAGTCTGTGCTGTGTAAGTATTGTCAGACACATGGTGTTTTGCTTTAATTTCTGCTCAGTGAAAATATGTGCTTTGCAGCAAGGCTGTTTTGGGCACCTGGGTGTAACTGTTCAGCTTTGTGTTGCAGCTGCAGACTTTCCTTAGGGAAGAGGAAAGCCATGTCAGCCCTGCCTCATGACCCAGGTGAGGCTTGTCCATGGAGGATCCTGACTGGGACAGAAGTTGCAGTGGTGTCCAGGCAAGGAAGGGTTCACACACTTTCTAGAATGAAATAGAGCTTTCAGCTTGACACAGAGGAGTAGCAGCTATGAACGTAGTAAATTTAGATATAAAATAAACTTTACAGCTGGGTTCCTGAGTAGTGGTGTCTCTCTCCAGGCTGCTTTTGCTAAACAAATACTGCTATTATAAGGGTGTTATAGCATATTTCCTGTTTTCACTACTGCAAAATCTTTTGGAGAGATGGTTATTGGGAGACGCTTTGTCAGGCTGTAGTTGCTCTTTGTTTAGGAATTCCTATGCTGTGCATGTGAAAGTCAATGGAGTAGCTGCGTGTTGCTGTTGAGCTCCTACTTCACTGTGGACTTCAGCCGTGTGCCTGCACACCAGCCTCTTGCACTGCTGTGGGTGAGAACGTTTGCAGAACACTTCACCTTCAGCGAGTTGTGTTTTAGAGAAGTGTGTGTTGTCCATCTATGAAGCTCAGGAATGTGATGCCGCCTTTCCAGCAGAGAACTGGGGAGGTGGCAGTGTATCCAGTCTGTGCCATGGCAGGTTTATGGTACAGCTGTGTTGTGAACCAGCCTGATGCTGGGGAAGCTTGCAGTGCTAGATGCTGCCTATGTGTGCAGCACTGACCTGTGAAGGCGAGACAGGAGAGAGAAGGTGAAATTGGCTCAAGTGTAAAGGTGAGGTAAGGTGAAATTGAGTATAATGGTGAGAAATGTCCAGGTATACCTAGGCTTAGGTAAGGATCTTGTTCTGTGGTCTGCTGGTAGAGCAGAGATGTGAATTTGAAGAGCGGCTGGAAAACAAGCCCTTTCATGCTCATAGAAATAGCTCAAGGCATTTGTGAAACTTCACCCTTCCTGTTACCTTCCCCATGGCTATTTTAATATAGTTTCTGTTTCTCCTTCTAGGTATAATTGCTGAGGCTCTGTAAAATGGCTTTACGCTTCCGCAACATCATCCCATATGCCATACCTGGAGTGCTGGCTCTTCTTGGCTGCTGGTGGATCTGTTTCCATAGAAAAAAGCAGGCAAGCTATCAGGACAAACAAGCAACAGCCATTGAAGAAAAGCAGCAGGAAGAAGAGTCAGAAAATGCTTCATCACCCAAAACAGAAGCATGTATTCCTCAAAGACGGCCTCTCTCATCTGAAGAGGAATGCCCAGAGAACAAAACCTCGACCTCCCTGCTACCAGTGGGGTCGACGACGCCCTCTCGTCCTTGTCAAACTCCGGAGAGGCCAGATCTCTCACAGGACCTTCCAGACCTGTCAGTAATGACAACTCAGCCCAGCACCCTTGAGGACGACAGTGAAAAACTAGAAACAATAGGATCTCAAGATGAAAGCAGTATCCCTGCTCGTGTTTCTCTGACCTCAAAGAGCGCAGAGTGCCACGGCAGTGCTGCACTGAGCCTTGTACAGGAGTCAAGCTCTAGTGCAAACCAAGATCAGTGGCCACCAGCATCAGTGACACTGAGGCAGAAGTCTTTGGGAATCGCAGAGATCAGCAATGTAGAGCAGTCAGGTGATTCTTCATGTAAGCCCCCTGAGGAAAGCCAGAAGCCAGAAACTGTGCTGTCGGATGCTAGCTCTGTGACAGCCCATTGCTTGGGATTGGACAGGGAAGCCAATACCCCACAAGTCTTTCTCAATAATGAAGTTGAAGTTTTATCGAGTCACAAGGGTTCTGCCATAAGCGTGTTACCAGATAGTTTGGAGTCTGCCCGTTTGGAGCAGTCCAGGGAAGAAGAAATGTCCAATTCAATTGCAAGTACTGTACCTGTGTGTCAGGAGGAAGACACACAGCCAAAAGGAGATGAATTGGAAAGAGAGAAGACTGAGGGAGTGAGTTTGGACAAGGAAGAAGTTGAGAAAATTGAGCAAGTAGCAATACAGATAATTTCCAAGGTAATTTTGGCAGCAACTGAGGAAGTGCTGTCTGGTTCTGCAAGTGATGTGTCCACTTGGATCTGCCAGGCTGCTGCTGGCCGAGTTGAGAGACCTCTGGAGATGGCAAATGTTGTTTCCTCTGATCAGATGCTTGCAGAGAAAGCTATGGGAGCAGATGAGAACACTGCTGTAAAGAATGGTTCTGCGGTACTGACATCTCCACAGACAGAGGAGCGTGATCACAGTGTGGCAGATTGCAGCTGTGTAACACACGTCTGTTTATCCAGCCCTGTTCAGGGAGACGCACAAGACCGTCGGGTGAAGAACCATGTGTTCAGCGAGGAAGTGCTGTCTGGTGCTGCAAGTGATGTGTCCACTTGGATCTGCCAGCCTGCTGCCAGCTGCCTTGAGAGACCTCTGGAGACGGCAAATGTTTCCTTTGATCCGATGCTTACAGAGGAGGCTGCAGTAGCACGTGAGAATGTTGTCACAAGGAGTGATGCTGTGGTACTGACGTCAGGGACAGGGGAGTGGGATCAAGGTGTGCCAGATTCCAGCTGTGTAACACACGGCTGCTTATCCAGCCCTGTTCAGGGAGGCCCGAAGGGCTGTCGGGTGAAGAACCGGCTGTGCAGTCGGTCCCGAGGAGTTGAACGGACTCTTGTGGAAAACCATGGAGGGTCACTGGAAAAGTCGCCTCGGGTTATGGAGGACTCTGGGTGCAGCACATACACATCTGAAGGTGGGACGAGTGTAGAGGACTCATTGCAGAACACAATGCTGTCTGTCACATCAAGCCAGCATTCGGACTCACTGAGTGCATCTGCAACCCAAGACACATCTGCTGAGCAGAGCTCAGCACCAAGTGAAAAATCTCCTTCTCTGAAGCTGCCTGAAGCCAGCAAAGTGCCATACAGTAATGGGATACTGGGAGAGGATAGTCCAGACTTGCATCATGAGTGTAGCAGGGCAGCAGGGATGGATGGAGATACCTTGGGAGGTAAGGGATTTAAAAATGCTTCTACAAAAGATGTAGTGATAAAGCATTTTCTGTGTTGTAACCCTTCACACACACACAGAATTGCTCGGTTAGAAAAGACCTCCGAGATCATCACGTCCAACCATTCCTGCCTACCCTTTAAACCGTATCCCTAAGTACCTCGTGTACCCGCTCCTT